TTAGCTAGAAAAAGTTAATAAATTGTATGTGAATTCAGCAATGTGATCACTGACTAACTGGAACACCTAGACTTGCTGGGAACGTGAAAAATCAACAGAGATCCTGACGCATTGCTTGAACAATGAACGCAGTTCTGAAGCTGATTGAGATTTTATCGAAAGCAAACTGGATCCAAAGCCACGTCAGCACTCTGCTCTCAACTTAGAAATGGCTTACGATGTTGTATCTCTATGCAATCAGACATTGTGAATGTTAGAAAGAAAAAAATTGGCTCAGCCTCAGTTGATCCATTTCTATCACAGAGTGACTCAGGTGGTAAAGGACCTTAAAGATCGTCTGGTTCAAATAGCTCTGCCACGGGCAGGGCCTCCACCCACTCGATCTGGCTGCCCGGAGCTCCACCGATCCAGCCTGGAACACCTCTAAGAGTGGGCCATCACAACTTCTCCAGGCATCCCGTGCCAGCACCTCACCACACCGAGTAAAAATTCCTGCCTCCTAATATCTAACCTGACTCTCCCCTCTGTTAGTTTAAAGCCATTCCACTTTGTCCTGTCACTATCAGGCTGCAGCAGAAATGCTCAGTCACAGCTGGAGCTGGTGATTGAGCACCTGGCAGGCAGGCAGGGCCATCCCAGGGGAGCTCAGGTGCAGCTGAGTGACAGGGAGGGGGTGGAACCAAGATCCATCCCTTCCCAGGCCTCATTTAAGGCTTGGCAGTAGAGGTGAGGCCACCTTGCTGGAGGTCCTGGCTTATCAGAGGTTTTTGTGAAGGTAAACATCTTTTCTTTTTTTCCTTTCTTTTTTTCTGCATCTGTGGTGGCTTGTATGTTTGGGTTTATCTTCATTTGCTGCAGCCTAGGACTTTGCCAGCCTGTTACTGTCACTGTACTTTCAATTGTGTTTTAGTATTACACAGACTGCATATAAAGCTGGTCTCGCACACAGCTCAGGGACAAAAGGATGCAGCTCACCTCTCTCCATAGCATCACACCGCTGGAATGCCCACTCTGGCTCTGAACCTGCAGGAACAGTTCCACAAACCACTTCTGAGGCACCAGAGGGTGGGCAGAGGGCTCACAACCTCAGACTGATCCTCACTGCTGGATGCTCCCCTGTGGCACTCACCCTGTAATAACATCATCCAGGCGCAACTT